AAGGAAGGAAGGAAGGAAGGAAGGAAGGAAGGAAGGAAGGAAGGAAGAAAGGAAGAAAGAAAGGAAGGAAGGAAAAAAATCTAAAATCTAGATACTACATACTTCCGACTAGTAAGAACCACCCAGGAGGTGGAGGCAGATGTGGATGTCACCGAAGTCCTGAACAGTAAGGTGTTTTCTCAATGCGTCTGCTTACTTCTGCTCTGGAGAAAATATGTCTAATTAATGATCTGTTTGACATGACCATTGGGGAAGACAAACGGCAACCATAAACATTTCAAAGACATAAGAGAGGGGAAAATAATAGTTATTGGAAGGTGGCATAATTTGAAGATTTATCACCCAGGGTCCAGGATTGCAATCACCAGACAATAATAGCAAGAATAATGCAGAAAACCTTATGAAAATTCCCTTCCAGCAATCAATCTACAAATGTAAGAAAGATCATCACCCTGCAATAGCAAACCCAGAAGCAGGAAACAAAAGTCGCCTGAGTGTGCCCAGATACAACTGTGAGAGTAGATGATGTCTGAGAGACAGAGTCGCTGTCACGCGGGCGTTATTTGGGCCTTAACGGATCCATTTAATGAAAAGCAGGGGGAAATGGAATGAAAGAAGCTGGGACACTTGAGGCCGAAGTCACATCTGTCAAATGAAGGTCTTCCTTGGGTGGGAGTTACAATTCCTTTCATCTGTAGGCTTCTGCATATATAAAGGTGAAGACATAGAGAGAAGAGCAAGGCACATAGTCCCACCCCCTGCCGTGGAGAGAGACAGTTTTCTCTAAGAGTGTAGCCCCTGGTAAATGGACCACTCTCACTCTGGTGGAAGACTGTTTGGGTGGTGGGGCAGGGGGGATCTAGGAGGAGGAGGAGGAGGAAAAACAAAGAAGAGAACAAGAATGCCAGAGAGAGGGGGAGGAAAAGAAAGAAGTAGCTGAATAGAAACATGGGAGTAAGCAGAGTCCTTCCACACAGCCTCCGCTCCAGCTCCTACCTCCAAGCTCCTGTCTTGAGTCCTGTCTTACCCTCCCCTCAATGATGAACCTGTAACCTATAACCACATGAACGCTTTTCTCCTGAAAGTTAAACAAGTGAATAAACGTTTTCAAAAGTCTAGCTGAGTACGAGAGGCAAGAGTGTGGGCAACGTGAACAAGGAGGTTGGCAGGCGGTAGGGGCACAGATCACGGAGTGTGCTTCCCTTGAAGTACAAGGACGTGAGTTCAAGCCCCAGAATCCACTTTAAAGGCCAAGTTTAATGGCACACACACTTTTAATCCCAGTACTGAGGAAGTGAAGCACTCGTGAGGAACCCTGGAGCTCACTGGTTGTCAGTGTAGCCAATGCAGCAAGTCCCAGCCAAGGAGACACCTTGACTTTAAAACAAAAGTATACAGTGACTAAAGAATATTACCTAAGATTGTCCTCTGACCTCTGAACCACCATAAGCGCATGTGCGTGCATGCAAACACACGTGCTTGTACACACACACACAAAGAAAGAGAGAGAGAGAGAGAGAGAGAGAGAGAGAGAGAGAAGAATGTGGGAACGGAAGCAGTTTATTACAGTAGTCCAGACAAGAGATCTTGAGAAAAAGATTTGTGAAGATTCAAAAGGGTAAAACTAATTCTAGAAATGCTTATGAGATCAAAGTGGCAAGTTGGGCCGTAGTCGTATAGTCATTGCCTAGTGCACGCGAGGCACTGGGCTCCACCACCAATACACAAAAGATGAGGCACAGTAATAAGACTTGACAAGTCATTAGATGAGGAAAGTAAAAGAGGCAAAAGTTCAAAGACTTCATGGCTGACAAGATGAATGACTGAATGACGTTACCTCCAACTAGAATAACTCAAAGGAGAACAAGCTAGCCAAGACAAGACAATCCAGCAAGTGTAGGATAGGATGAGTTTGATGGGTCTCCTAGGAGACACAGTGGGAAAATCCTCCCAGGGGCTAGACACAACATGGTTGATGGGTTTTGAGCATTTTGGTGAAAGCTGGTCTGAGGGAATTTAAACCCAAGCAGGAAAGGAGAACACCCTTGGTGACACCATGTTGTTGACAGACAGATAAAAGGGCGCAGGCAGGATGGTTACTGCAGAGGAGACAGTACTTCATTTTTTTAAAATACTTATTTATTATGTATACAATATTCTGTCTGTGTGCATGCCTTCAGGCCAGAAGAGGGCACCAGACCCCATTACAGATGGTTGTGAGCCACTATGTGGTTGCCAGGAATTGAACTCAGGACCTTTGGAAGAGCAGGCAATGCTCTTAACCGCTGAGCCATCTCTCCAAACAGTACTTCAAAAGTCACGGAAGCAGCATGTTTGGGAGAGAGCTCAAACTTAGGAACATCCCAAATAGGCACTTTTCCTAACCTGACTCCCCTTGCCCTGTCTGAGACTGGCTTTGTCCTGTCTGCCTTTCAGGGGTACAGAACATAGACACTCCTCTCTCTTCAGATAGGTTTCTTGCATGTATGGATTTAAATCATTTCTTTTCCTAATGCAGACCACTAGTCCTTTCAATTGTTTGCAGAGTCCCACCACTTAACTGTTTTCTCTTAGCTGTCTCTAGACTTGCCCTATCTCTAGGTGGGACCTGAAAACCCACGTAACTGGAAGGCCAGGTCAGTGATGAGTGTATTTAGGTGATTCTAGCTCCGCACACTGCTAGCTCTCTGCCAATAACATATTGTCCCTGACAGCTCTGCTTCACACTGCTGTCTGCTTCTTGAAGCCTCCCCCGAAGAATCACATAGCCGACTGAACCAGACCTGGAAGAAATCCCAAGGCTTCCCCGGTCCATTTTCCCCTTCAGCTAAGGACTTTTTTTGGATGGTTCCCTACAAATGTGGTTCGGCTCAAGTAACTCAAGATAAGGCTCTTTCCCGAAGGGAATGCTGTCTGTTAATTTAACACGTTGTAAAGTTGATTTCGGACCACATAAGTAGCATGTGTAATATAGAGGAGGATGGCTAACACAGGCAAGGATAGGAAGCAACGGATGGCATATGGAAGCATTAAGTGGAGTTGTGATATTGAAGCATTCAATGGAGTTGTGATATCCATCATTCCATAAACCTCGTGTTTCAGGTTGGAGGTCAGGGACCTATAAGCGCAAACGGGACTTCCTATTGTGAGGTACGATCTAAAACTGACGGTATCGCCCCGCAGAATTGCTCTTACCCATGCCAGAAAATTAATTTGCCTATTCTTTACTTCACTGAGCTCGGCTTTCCTTTCAATTGGATTCTTCAAGGTGCGAACCATCAATCCAGCTCAACTTTAAGTCCTGTCCTTTGGCAGTTAATCTGCTCATTAGGCCAACGCCGCCGTCCTTGATCCAGGAACACTTTATCTACATGATAAATGCTGAGAGTTTTATTAAAGGCTTTTCTTCTCCTCGCCTGCTTTCCACCCCCTCCCTCCTCCCTCTCACCTCTCTCATCTTGCATCCTTCCCTCCTCTTCCTCCACCTTCAAAATACCTTTCTCTCTCCCCCACCCCACTTCCACCCCTCCCTCTTGTTCCTTCCTTACCAGTTCCTAACTGAAAACTTCTCATTTGCATGTTTACCAGTCTGGCCACAGGTACAGCCGTTGTGCCAGCTCTTTGAAGCGTCGCCGTTTCAATCCCTGGGTTATACTGAGACGGGCACGCCCCTTGTATTCACAAGCCAGGAGCTCCACATGGTTAGCACACCTCTGCGCATGCTCCGGAACCTTCCCTTTCCACCCATTGAACTTACTGCAGTTTATTTGTTCCTGTTGTTTTGCTAGCTCTTTACTTTTGGGTGGAGAGAAGATATCCGACCTGGCGAGCCTCTGCACACTCGAAAATTCTGCTTCGATGCGATCTCACACAGCAGCCCGGTCACGCTCTATGACTGTCACGGCATGAAAGGGAACCAGCTCTGGGGATACCGGAAGGTAAGGGTTGGCGCTGTGGTCATTCTCAGATTGCCAATATATACTTGTTTTGTTTTACTTTTTTGGGTCTTTTGCGCCCCACCCCCACTCCAGTTCCCAACTCCCAAATAAACACATGAAGGCTTATGCTTTCTTATGAATGCCCGGCCTTAACTTGGCATATTTCTAGTCAGCTTTTCTTAACTTCAAGTATTCCATCTACTTTTCGCCTCTAGACTTTTATCTTTCTATATACCTTTCTTTACTTCTTACTCCATGGCTGGCTGACTGGGTGGCTGGCTGGGTGGCTAAGTTGCTGGCCTCTGATGCTTTTCTATCTTCCTTCTCTGGTCCCTTGGTCGCTCTTGCCAGGTTTCTCCTCCTATTTATTTTCTCTGCCCACCAACCCCACCTATCCCTCTCCTGATTGGCTACTGACATTCAGCTCTTTACTAGACCAATCAGCTGCTTTAGACAGGCACAGAATCACAGCTTCACAGAGTTAAACAAATAGAACATAAAAAAATACAACACACCTTTGCATCGTGAAAACAAATGTTCCACACGATAAACACATGTTACACACCTCAAAATAATATTCTACAATGGTCATGACTTCAGATTGACTGGCTCCAGCAGCTGGTTAAAAGCACGCTGTTCTAATCCCAAGTGTCATCTTGACATATGCACACATACTCAGCTCACGCATGTGGAGCCCTCCACGACAGGGGAAGATGCAGCATGGAGTCTGTGCTTTTGCCCTCACGTGTCGTGTGTACCATTTCCCAAGCAGTGACACCTGCAAAACGACCAGCTCAGTAGGAACACAGGGACGAAGTCTAAGCTCAGCTTGATCAACTTGGCGTAAAAGTGGCCACACAGCAAATAAGCAAATACGCGTATACATAGTTCTTAAAAAACTTAACTCAAAACACACATACATTAATACATCTATTCATTTATTGCTACCCCTGGCTATTGCATGGCAGCTGTCTGGTTAAAACATATATATATATATATATGTATATATATATATATGTGTGTGTGTGTGTGTGTGTGTGTGTATACATATACATATACATATATATATAGATAGATATATAGATATATAGATATATAGATATATAGATATAGATATAATTGTAACACTTGAACAAAAGTAGCCTGTTTTGTGATTTGGCCAAAAATCTCTCCTGATATAGTGAAGGCAAACATATTGGGGAAACCTAAAAATTAATAAACTATAAGATAGTACTTAATGATAGAAATAGATTTAAAACAAATATACTTAATGATATAATTTTAAAACAAGTATAGACTCATGTTTATTGAGTTAAACAATTATATTTTTAGGTATTTTCAAGTATTATTTTTGCGTGTTTCCCGGCCAGGGAGCCAATGTTTCCTACTTACTATTTTGTGCTCCGCACAATCCAGACTTACTTGGACTATCAGGAAAATGTACCTAGTGCTTTATCCTTTGTGTGACAAAGGCCAGCCAATAGGCCCCCAGATTACAGAGAACTGGAGGGAAGAGGCTGGCGGATGGGCACTGATTGGTGTGGGCAGTGGCTATGAATGCGCTTCTTCACTTCATGAAAGCCAGAACGCTGGTTTCTGCCACTTGAGGTGGGCACCCCAAACCAGGCTCTCTCAGAGCAGACTTGACTGTGCTGTTTATTCGACTCATCAACACCTCCCGAGGACCCAGCAGATATTTACTGTGTCTCCAGAAGACGCACACACTGTCAGCTGTTGAATCTGACAAAGCAATTTCAAATCTAAAGAACTAATGAGAAGATGCTCTCACAAGTACACAGGAAGAGAATTCCTAGCTGGGGTCTTTTGTTTTTCCTGTGTGTGTGTGTGTGTGAAATGTGTGATTGATTAGTCCTGTCAAGCTCCCACTATTCGATACAATATTGTCTACATGGAGTCGGGTAGGGTAGGCCTTTTTTTCTCCAATAGTTATTTTCTGACCTTTAGGATGATATTTTCTGTATACATCAATAACACACCAGCTCTCCCTCACAGGCTGGAGCTTTCTAATGAACGGAACATTTCTCATCATTGGACGTTTACAGAATGAGAGACAGACCACTCAATAATACGCAATTAAGCCCTGAAAATGCAGTTGTTTTCATGAGGGATCTTACAAAAGCTTGCAGATGGATAAGACCGACTAATGCATGTGCCCACAGAGCTCCCAGAGAGGGAAAACCAGGCTACCGTGATTTCCAACGGTAGCTCGTATGAGCTTTAACACTGCAAACCTTTCCGGTATCTGAAGGGATCGGTGAGAGATAATCACTGATGTGCTAGGCTCTGGCTGGCTTCTCAGGTCGGTTGCAGCGCTCGGCGAGAGGTTGCACTCTGCATATTTATATAGCAAGCAAGATATTTATACAAAATCAGGAACATGCCGAAGGCTTAAAATGGGAAGTTTCTGAAATATCTCATCCTGGTCGATGACTCAGACCTATACAGCACACCTGTTTTGGAAAATTCAAGAGCTGCTACCTAGAGAGGAAACAACAAATCAGAGAGCTCTCTGGAATGCTGCCTTCCCTGTCCAGTTGCAGGCGTTGGCCTCAGGAAAGGGGGAGTAATCTACCAGTTCAGTAATTCTCTGAAGCTGTTTTGGAGTGGCCCCCCTTTTATTACCATATTTTAAATTAGGTATCTATGGATCGGCCTAACGGGTCATCTCCTGAGCACCGAGGGGAATCCTCAGGACCACCTCCAACTGAATCCCCATGATCACTTAGGCGCCATTGGGTGAAATGTACAGAGGAAGATACCAATGCTGGCACAACTGGACAAAGCCAGCATCCGAACTCAGAAGAATCCAGCTCCGGAGTCTCCACTCACTCACTCCCTGGCTGTGCTCTTAAGAAACGAGATCAGTACTTCCCAGGAGAGGTCCCCAGGGTTTACTGGATCTAGTGCTACAGACTCCAACTGATCTTTCCCAAGATTACATGGATTTCTTGGAGAAAGAATTTGGCCAGTATCCACCTCCTTTGAACAGATCAAGGATGTGGTCAGACCTCACTTCCTGTTCCATTATCAGCAATTAGCTCTCAACTATTCTCAGATATGTCTCTTTGCTACCCCAAGGGAGAGGAGCATCCCTATTTTACCATATTGTAACTATGATTGTTACAATCATAGACACATGTCTCAGAATAGCTTGTGAGAGAGGAATCCTTACTTTGGTTCTCTATTGCCACCAGGGGGACCCCTGTTACAAGGGCAGCAACCCCAGTAAAAGAAACCATCATTCAACAAGAAACTCTTTTCTCTCCTTCAGCCCCCACATCTGTCCACAACCACAGTCTGTCAGTCACAACCACTTTTTATTCCCTTTGCCCAGTCATATTCCCCCTCTCTCTCACACCCACACATGCACACCCACACACACACCTCTCTATCTACCCCCCCACACCTCTCTCTCTGTCTACCTATCTCTCTCTCACACACACACACACACACACCTCTCTCACACCCACACCTCTCTTTCACACACACACCTCTCTCTCTCACACACACACACAGCACACACACCTCTCTCTCTCTCTCTCACACACACACCTCTCTCTATCTATCTACCTATCTCTCTCACACACACACACACCTCACACACACACACCTCTCTCTCACACGCATACACAGCACACACACCTCTCTCTCTCTCACACACACAC